CTTCTCTGTCCTTTCTGATCTCATCCACCGCAAACATCACATCAGAAACAAATGTAAAAGTTGATGTTGCCAATACCTTTCTTTTCTTTCAATTTTCTTATGCTATATTACAGCGTCTATCTTAATATAGGATTAACTTTTATCAGTATGTTACTAGGCTTGGGGTGCAGGGCTCTTCTTCTAAAGATAGTTTCTAGGTTTTTTCTATCCTGAGCAAAGAATTGGTCAAGACAAGTCCAAACTTTCCTGAGTTTTAACACCTAAGGTAGAAAAAGAAACATGTTTGAGTGTGTTTAGGCCGAATAAAAGTATGGGGAGTACACTCGTGTGAAATACAGTAGCAAAGAGCTCTTGGTGACTGCCCTGTTTGCATCAGCTCTTCTCAGGCTGGAGGCAGGCTCGGCTATCCAAAATGCTGAGTTCCTGTGAGAAATCCATCTGCAGGCCTTTGGGAACTGTTCAGGGCATGTATCCTAGGATTTTGCAATTAACAGATTGGCCCACCAGTCTGTCATGCCCTAATCTTCTGCCTCCTGTAAGGCTTGAGGCCATGAATAAATGAGCTGACACTCTTAGGTGACATCACAAGATGCTGACTCAGTGGAAACTTTCATAAAATTTCACTGTTAGCTGGGGATATAGCTCAGTGGCACAGCACCTGCCTGGCAAGCTCAAGATCTTGAGTTCGACTCCCGGTACAGCAACACCAAAAAATTGGATTGTCAGCATGGTCTTTTCTTTTCTGTTTCATTTATAAGTTCTTCTTCACTTCTTTATTCATTATCTTTAGTATTGAAACAAATACATACGGGTCTTGAAGCCATCTTTGATGTCTTGGAAAATTTTCATTTAAGAAGACAGAGGTTATAACATGTTATTAGAGGAATTTCATTGCAAGGGTCTTTTCTGCTCCATTATTTTTACATATGTATGAGTCTGGCTTTGCTATTTTAAGATTTACCATATGTTTTTTGAGCCATTTATTTCAGTTTCATTTGTATTTGTACAATACAGCTTATCAAGTAGAATTAAACTTTTAATGCTATTTTGAGTAACTTAAAGTTAAGCATCCATTTAGTGATTGGCAGGACTCCAGGAAAATCCTGCTACTGTTTCCTTCTCCATTTGTGTTAACGTGAACAAATATCTGTCTACTTAACAACAAAATCTATTCTTAAAGAGTAATCACCTGGCCTTTAATGAAATATATTTTGTTTGAGTCAGACAGTAGTGTGTGTCCATTTTAAGCGATTTTTAATTCAAACTTGTAGTTAGAGAATCTTACTTCCAAATGCCACTAGTGGTTTTTAAAACTATTTTCAAAGAAGTAATTTTAAATTTAACAATCTATACTTCTATAATTACCACAGAATACATAAAAATGCAAGTAATTATGAATGCTTTTTTTTTTTTTTTTTTTTGATACCAGGGTCAGGACCTTGCATTTGCCAGGCAGGCACTTGTGCTGCTGACCTAAACCCCTGACCTTGAATGAATTTTTAAAGTTAGATTCTCTTCAAATATTCCATAGGTTATATCAATTTATTTCAAAATAATTCCTGCATTTATTTTATACATCTTTTAAGACTAAATCAGCCATAAACCTGTGTTCTAAAATATACTTTTATAAAATAACAGAGAAATTAAATATATGATATATAGATGATATATAGATACATCATTATTACGTTTTCCTGTTTTTTATATAAAAATGCATTCCGTAATATACAAATGATTACCTTTGTGACTTTTCATTGTCTGGTTTTGATCTACACCTGTTTATTGGCGACAGAAAAAAAACTTTCTAATACATTCAGTTCAGTCAAGTTATTTCTTGAGAATTTACGGTTTAATTCACAGTCCAATCACAAATGCCACCTACCTTTTCTACTTCCTTACTCTTTGTTGGCCGTGAGAGGCAGAGGTAGTTTAAACAGGGAAAGGACCTAAAACAGGTGAGGGCTAAAAGGTGAGAACGGGAAAGGAGACTGTATCTGAATCTCCAGCCAGGGTCTTGTTGTCATAGTTATTATATCTCTGTTCTCATGAATATCACATGATGTTGACACTCGGGATGGCAGGTTAATGTGGGGGAAGTTGCTCATCTGGACTTAGTATAGCTTCCTGGTATGAGTGACTTTGCTTTCTTACCATCTAATTGGTGCCTGGCTTCGTAAAATGTAACATCGCCAAAACACAAGGCTGTCTACAGCAGGCTGTGTCCTGACAGAGCCTACCGGTTCCCCTGAACCTCACTTTCTAAGTCTTCTCCTCACTTAGCCATGTGGGAGATTTCTACTCCCCTCCACCTCTGGTTATGATCTCTTAAAAGTGGAGGATTGCAGGAAGTAAGAAAGCATCTGTTTTTCTTTTTTCTCATCTAATATAAGTAGTAATAGCAATTGCTTCATAGTATCGTTGTAAATCGCAGATGAAATAAAGTTTACCTTGATGGAGGAATTATAAATTTTCTGACCTAGAAAAGAAAGAATGAAAGAAGAAAGGATATGAATATTCAGGAAAGTACATATTTTCAGCTGCTTTAAATATGCATATGCAAATAGTCTGAGAACCCAAATCCTGTAGTCAGCACATAGCAATTTCACAGTGGGAGTATTTGACAGCATTTCATAGACTCCCCCAAACAGCAGGCAAAATATTGCTAATTTCTTCACTTTTCAAATGTTGATTAATGGTTTAGTTATCTATGCAATTAAGAAGTATTTGAGCACTCCCAGGATATTTCTTGAAGAGGAGAGTTTACAATATAGCCTAAACCATAAAATGAATATTGGACAGGTCCTCGTGAGTTTTCTTTCTTGTCTGGAGAATAAAAGATATAAATGAGCATTGTATTATGTTTTTCAAATGCTGCTACAAATGCTATCTGATTAGTGATCACCAAATAGTGTTTTATAATAGAAGCAAAGTCTTAGGATGAAAATTAATTTTCATAGTATATGACATACGTAATTCTTGGTTTTTCATTTCTTTGGAATATAATCACTTCTAGCTTAAGAAATTAAGTTTTGTAAACTAAATATTCCCTTTGGAAATTAAATCACTAAAGATGATGATTTTAAAAACTAGTAACTAGTTGTGTTAGGGGGAAGCCTTTTCAAATTTGGAGTATTTTGATTGAGGCATTTCATCTAATGGATTCCCAAGTTTCTCTTTTGATCTTTATCTACTTTATGAATTAAATGTGAGTAAAAATGAATATTAATAGTAGCCATAATTTCCATGCTAGACATCTATTGGTTGATCTCGCTTCAAAGTAACTTACTTCTTTGTAATATTAAGTTACTCTAATTTCCTACCTCCGTGCCTTTTATTTTCCTCTGGAGGAAATCTTTCAGGGCATGACCTAATGAATTCTGGTTCAGATTTCCGAATGAATCTAAACCAAAGTTATTCTGTAATTTGGTGGAGGGAACCTTCCTTAAATACCCTAGTGAGGGGATTTTTACTGTTTCATACCAGACTAAAGTACTTTTCTTGACATACTGAAATTGAACTGTAACATTTATGAGAATATAAATTGCAGCAGCACATTGTAACGTGTCTTAGGTCCAGCAGGGCCTTAGGTCAAGGGCTTTTACTTTCTTTAAAACCTCCATTTAACATAGCAGTGTTTTTAATTATTTTGCTTTTAAAAATTAGAAAAATATGTCCTATTCTCCAGAGAGATTTTATCTTCAGTTATTCCTATAATTTATATGGTTACATGGGGTATGGCTTTATAGTTTTTATTTGGCCTAACCAAAGTGCGAATTCAGTTTCATAGATATGGCAAGTTAGCCTTCTCTTTTAAAGCTTTAAATGTGGTTTTCAAATTGAGTTAACTTTTGTTTTCTTATCCTAATTCCTGCCCTCTGTCATTTTGTCTCAAAAGCTTGCTACCTCAGAGTTTCAAGAAAACACTACTCCATTCTACATGCAACCACCGTTTAGTATCCTTGTCACATGAGACTTACGGTATAGAATCAGAAATTAAAGGCAGCAATTTTCTATAGCATCTTTTCTGTGCCCTTCTGATACGGTTACTAGACTCCATTCTGACTTATAAGAGCTTTTCCATCCATAACTGCTCTCTTTGGCGGTCTTCTGATGTAGCATGAAATAATCAGAAAACATACTGTGCACTGAAAGCTAAATCATTGATACCCTGATGTTTGATTTCATCTGCTAACAAGTTGCCTGAACCTAACTTAAGTTTTTGCTGGGAATTGCAAGAATGGCAGTGAACAAATGCATCTCTAACATTCAGTGTGTGTCTTATTTGCATAAGTGAGCTGTGCCACGCATGAGGTTTGGCTGTGAGCAAGAAAACTGACTCTGGCTCTTTGGAGGCAGTGGAAACTGAAGAATTTACTGTGGCTGGAACGCTGGAGTCAGCGGGAAAGAAGGCAGCCCAGTGGCTAAGCAGTGAGACACACTCTCTAGCAATTCTTTGTAGATCCAGTCTGACCAGTACAGACCCCCATTTTCTTCCACTGTTTTGAGTAGATCCTGGTCATCCTTTCATCTGTCACTCAGGAATTAAAATTCCAAATGAGAACATTCACTCACCTGAGATTAGGTCATGTGCCTCACTGGTGGCCAGAGACCAATGAGAGAAAAGGAAAAAACCCCAAAAACTGGCCTTCTGTTTTTTCTTTTCACGACACAAAATGGAAAGTTTCCTCTCAGTCAGAGTGACTGTCTAGATAGAACAGAAATTTTGCATCCTGTGTATGTGCATTCATTTATTAAAAAATCATAACTACATATTCATTTTACCAACGTATTTTAAAAATTAAGGTTTTTCTGTGATTACCATGTTAAAACAGCAGTGTTTTATGTGGGTTAGCTTAGAAAAGGAAATGAACTCTTCTAATTGCTAAGGTGTAATTGCTGTGGCGTAATTCTACCTATCCTAAAATAAATGATCCAGTTTTCATTGGTTTGTTTTTGGTTTTTTAAATTTTTATTTATTTATTTTTTATTCTTTTTAACAGACAGGCCAGCCTCAATGAAGCAGCGGAAAAATATTACGACCTGGCAGCCAGGCTAAGGCCTAATGTAAGTACTTTACTAATGAGAAGTATGATTCACAGGGAAGATCTGAAAGCATGCAATAGTTTTAGGATATAGATATGTCGTGATACTGTATTTCTTCTTCTAACCTCTTGCTTAAAATACAGTTCATTTAGCAGTGAAGTCTACCAGTCCTAACTCCCTTCCACTGGGTAAAACTGCTGTTATCTACTTGGTGTAAAGCACTGCAAATCTTTATCATTTGAACAGGAGATTTTAGCATAGCATTTAACCCTACATTTGGATGAATTTTAAAGTTCCTTGAAAGGTTTTGTTTTTGTTTTTGCTGTGGTCTTAAGTACTTTGGTCATCACCTACAGCTAAACCCTGAGCTGTGGCCATCTTTCCTGTTTCTGATACCAATTATTAATAACTGTTTCCCAGTTAAATCACTGATGTTTTCATTGTGAGTTTTCCCTGAGTAGTTAAACTCTTATAAATTTGGATGCTGTAGATTAGATCATTACATTTGAAATGGATTAACCGAGAAAATAAGAACTTGTTTTTGTTTGTCTTTCATTTTATTTGCGGCACACTCCTGAATCGGGGTGCATTGCTTTTATTTTCACCCCCATTCTGCAGCCCTCTTCTGAGCTGAAACGTTTCTTCCATGTTGCTTTCCAGATCTGAACCATGTATTAAGAAATGTAATTCTGAAACAGTAATGAAAATGCATGTGTGAACCGAGTACAAATAATGGGATCAGTCTCATTTCTTTATGGTAACTCATCCATTCGGCAAGCATCTGTAGAGTGCCTATTTCCAGAGATTTCACACCCTACAAGACCACACAGTGTAGCAGAGAAGACTGAACATAATCAGCTAGTTGAGATGCAGTATGGTAATTCCCAAGGAGGTATATTCAATTTTCTGAGAAAACAAAAATGGGATTAATGCTCTCTGAAAGCGACCTACAATGGAAGTTGTTTTTGTTTTCTTTTACTCTCTTTTCTTTTTTTATTCTTTCTTTTATTTCTATGTGTGTGAAGAGCTAATTCTTTTGGTACAGGTTCATAGGTAATATACCCATAGCAAAAACAGATTAACAAAACAAAATCATCCACATCTATTTAATATAAGTTTCAAATGCCAAGGGAGGATTCAGAAATGAACCCAAGGAAGACTGTAGGAAAGCTATATATTTTCTGGCCAGTTATGCAGAGATATGATTAAAAAATGAAAGAGTGTAATATAGTGTTAATAAATTGAAGGAGACTTAGCAAAGCCTATTTGCTTAGATTTTTCTCTGTCTTTTGTCTTCAGAGATAAGGATGTTAATGAGGTCTTACAAACTAATTCCGGGAAGAAGGGAGAGAGATCACAGAGTGCCAAGCCTGCTTCAATGGTTTTCTCAGTTTCCTTTGGGTTAACATACTGCTTTGAGGTGGTATATTTTGTGATGGCTGCTCTGAACCCATTCACATTCTGAGTTGCTTCAGGAAGTGATGAGCTGTTTATATCAAAAGAAGACAATAATCATAATGGTAAAAACAATGGCAGCTCAAATTCATGGAAAACTTATGTGTCAAGCACTTTGCTAGGTAGTAAATGTGAATTCTTTCATTTTTCACAATACTCCACGTACACTTTAGTGATCTCCATTGTGCAAAAGGTTGGAGAAGTTAATAATTCACTCAGCATTGTAGCTGTGTGTAATCACAGTGTTGTTTTTAGACCATTATGTGCAGGAGCATAAGCTTGATCAAAAAAACCAAACCAAACAAAACAACAAAACTGGCCATATTTTAAAGGGAAAACACAGATCAGAAATCTGTAAAACTAAAATAGTAATAGTCACGTCATTTATCCATTTGGTAAATATTTACTGAGTACTAGACACTATCCAGGCACTGGGAATAAGCAGCTCTGAATAAAATAATAAGTACCTGACTGCTAGGATCTAGCGATTTGATCTGGAAAAGTGAGCTTAAGCAAACAAGTGAAGCATGTCAGATAGAGATACGCACTTTGGAGAAAAATAAAGCAATATAGAGAGGTTCGTAGACACAGGAAGCATAGTCTTGTGAATGCCTAAGGTGGGCACCTTTGTGCTAAGTTTCAAAGTAAAGGATTGAATTTGAAGACTTTGTGTTACTTTATTTTATTGAAAGCAGGGATCATGGATGTTGTCCTTTCTTTTTTGGACTCCTTTGCCCTGATTATTATAATGGTCTAAACATACGTAATGCATAATTATTATGTTCAACATTTATTCATTAAGCACAAATCATTTGAATATTACTTTATGTTTGCTAAATGATGATCTGTAGCACAATATAAAGGAATAGTGAGAAAACTGTCTGACTTATCTGACCTACACTTAAAATGTAAAAGACATTCAGGCAATACAAGGTTTGAACTTGAATTATGAGGTACTTTATCTTAAATGACAAGTCAAATCATAAAATCAGTGTTTAATCTCCAATGCAAAGCTACTTTTTCATCTTGGATCCCAAAATATTTCTTCATAAATATGCTTCAGAGTACTGCTTTGAAAATTACGCAAATGATACTTTCCTTGTCTAGTAACTATAAAATAAAAGTATCTTACAGACTTAGATAGAATACAGAGTTCATATTTAACGACAGATAGTGATGTTCCAATTTATGGATCAACAGGTATTTTTTTTTTCCCTACCTGTTCTCTGATTGTTTGATTTTCAGTACATTGTCTAGGTAAGATAGGCACCATTGAGGACAGAGTGAAAATACAAGCTATAATAATGTAAATTTCTATTCTGAAATAAAGAAGTCTATTTGAAGAAAACCCTATCGGGAATTATACAGTTAGTCGAAAGTAAATCACCCACTTAACATTTTATCTTGCTGTTTATTCCTTTTGTTTACAAAACATTCTTTGTTACTTCTATGCTCTAACTGAATAAGTGTCAGTTACTTGCTTGTGGAAAGCATAGCAAATGGACTTAAGTTCTTATATTCTATTTAATATGACTTTTTAATTTTTCATATGTATATAGTAAACCAATCTTACTCTTATTCTCATAAGATATTTTCTTCTGTTGTTTAAATATCCATGCATCTGTAATGATCAGAATCTGCATGCAAAAGACTCTAGGAATCCTTTAGCAATACTTACATTAGAAATGGCTGTGGAAGGTGAAATGTATGGCCATAACCTTTGTGTACTATCAATTACTGTGATCATATTAAAAAAGATCGGGCATCACCTATGGAATATGGTTCTTTCTTAATAAAAACATTGATTACCTAATTCCTTTCTTATTTCTATTTCAACAAAAGCCATATTGATCTATGTAATGTGCTTTGAAATTGTTAATTAACTTTTTGAATTATTTCATTTTCAAAGTATTCCAATGATCTCATGCTAAAATGATGAAAAGGTTAAATTATTAGGCACAAACTCAATTTTTGGTTCTCGTATTGTCCCTTTCTCAGGATGTCCAGTCTGTCATTTACTGAAGTACACAGTTGTGTTTTGATTTTCAGTATATAATCTAGATGTACTTATTTTTAAAATGGCACATAACAATTTCAAACCTTATTTAGTTGACTTTGGGAACAATTGCTTTAAAATTCGATCTCTTTTTATCTTATAATGTATTTCTGTAATAGCAAAACCTTACAAAATTGCATTTAAATTAGTTTTAGTTTTAGTTTTCCATTTTTGTAAGTAAATTAATCTTTTGTGGTGGTTATTTAAAAAAGACAGCAGTCTTCTCCATCTTCTCCCCCCATCTATGCACATCATAATTACTGACTAGATGGAACATTTAGATGAAACTGATTAATTCCTGTGGGAATTAAGCGAACTTTTGAATTAATTTGTGGATTTAAAAATTCTTTTGACATGTGAAGAATGGACCTTTTGTATTCTACAAGGTCACCTGCTTTAACTTTTTATCAACTCCAGAGTCAAGAAAGCATGCAAGTACAGTGATCTGATCTTGTGTTCTTCTGAATATAATTGTTTTCGGTCTGAGCTCATTCACCTTGCTCTTTTTATCTAGTACCAGCTTTATATAAGACTCTGTGCCAAGTGTAGATTTCAAGGTTATAAAAAATTAACCTTGAGAAACGTACACTCTAAATGGGGAAGGATAGGAAGAGAGAATATTTGAATCTCTGTCCTTGCATGTCAGAGCAGTAAATAAGGCTATCTAAGCAGGGCTTTTCAAGAGGCATAAGCTAGGTGTTAGCAAAGTGCATGAGAGCAATTACATTCAACTGGATTGATGTGACAAAGCATTGAGTCAGAGTTGGCAAGCTTAGAAATGCTTGAAGTGATAGAATGTTTATAGGTGAAAATTTTAGCAAGAAGAAGAGAAAGGAAAGTAATCTGGCAGGTTGATACAGAGGCATAAATAAGAACAAAGGGAAGAATAGGGGAAGATCGAACAGAAACATAAAACCAGATGAAAGGCATTTAGTGTCACACTAAGGGTTAGGGTTTTGTATTCCAGGGTTTTAAGCAGGGTGATGTAATGAAAGCTGTAATTTAGTATGGTCATTTATAGGATACAGGAAAAAATGCATGTTATGTTCTGGGAAATAGAATCAGGAGATACAGCATTGGGAGAACTGAGTAATAAGTCATTGAAGTAGTGTAGGTGGAATACAGTAGAGACTGAAGTAGAGGAACAGAATGTAGTGGCTAAGGACACAGGAAAAATAAGCAGATTATTTCATAGGATGTGAGAAAGACAGTTGATCAAAATGACTGTTCCAAACTTTTAAATTTAGGTAAGTTGAAAAAAAAAAGGACATACTAAGAAGTAAGGTGCTCAAACAGGTATGTTTATTTCAGTCTTAAGTTTGAATTTGCAAATCGGAGAAGAAAGCTCTTATAATGTTTTGTGGAACATTCCTATCGAGCAAGGAATTGGGAAAAAGTCTATAATTAGGAAAAGAGGTGTGGAGGTCTTTTGCAGAAAGAGAATAGTTCTAACCAAGTGAGTAAGATCAGGAAAGGAAGGAATGCACAAAGGAAAAGGAGAGAGCCAATG